TTGTTGATGGGTATTGCAAAAAGGTGCAATCCCTGTGGAGGAAAATTTGGCATTGTGGAACAAAATTAAAGATAAACATTTCTCCTTTGATCCAGCAAACCCACTGCTGGAAATCTATTCCAATAGAAAAGACATATGCATGAAGGTATTCATGGTAACCGCTATTGATAGAATGTACTTTACAAAAGACTGGAAACAACCCAGGGGACTGATTGAATAAAATAAGATACATAATCATAGTGGAGTATTATCGAGTATATAACTATATCGGAATGATCATCAGGATATATTGTTTAGATAAAAAATATCAATAAGCAAAACAGTATGCATAGTATGTTACCTTTTTAGTGAATAAAGAAGAGAATATATGTATTACTTATTTGCTTATATAAAAACAACAAAAGAAGAATAAAATAAAAACTGATAATAACGAATACTATTTGGGAGTAGAAGTAACAGGAGGCAGACACAGAGATGTGAAAGCTAGACTTCTTTGAATATATTTTGTTTGTGAATTTCATTGGGTAACTATGCAAAGCTTTATATCATCATAAAGCAGAATTAAATTAAAATGAGGGGAAAGCTCTCCCTTAAAAGCAAAAGTAAAATGAAACAAATGAACCTAACCATGTAGCATATTACTGATGAATTAAACTCAGCAGAATTATTTCAAGTTGCAAGAGGAAAGGAATTTGCTGGTAGAATACACTCTAATGTGAAAAGAACCACAAAGAAACCTTAAGTTGTTTTTAGTAATGATAATGTTAGTCATAATGCTTGTATTATTATTCTGAAGCCATTATATATATTTTCTATATGTGTATGTTAGGATACAGCAAATAAGGAATTGTGTTAATGTCATAAGAAACAAGGATGTCAACCTAAGAGAAAGGAGATACAAATATAAAATCAAAGAAGGTAACCAGGCGCAGTGGCTCACACCTGTAATCCTAGCACTTTGGGAGGCTGGGGCAGGAGAACCACTTGAGGCCAGGATTTGGAAACCAACCTGGAATACAAAGTGAAGCCTCATCTCTATAAAGGAAAAAAAAAAGAAGAAGAAAATTAGCCAGGCATGGTGGCATACACCTGTAGTCTCAGCTACTTGGAAGCCTGAGTCAAGAGGATCACTTGAGCCCAAGAGTTCGAGGCTATGGTAAGCTGTAATCATGCCCCTGCACTCCAGCCTGGGGAACAGAAAGAGACCCTATCTAAAAAATACATTACAATACAATACAATAAAAGAAGGTATATAAGCAGATGAATTTTATGTTATGCAAATTTTATCTCAATAAAACTACTTAAAAAAGAAAAAGAAGGTAAGCACAAATCTTGTAATCCTAAATTTGAGTTGGGAATATGAGTATAAATGCCTGATATATTTTTTTCTTTAAAAAATTATTTCCTAGTTTTGTCCATCTGAAAACGCTTGGAACCCATAGCAACATGAACTTCCCTGGCTACTCTGATGGTGGCCTATAAATACCACTTCCAGTTAAAAGGAACCAGGGCTCCTTGGGAAAGTAACTGATTCCAGGTAGGGGCAAGAAATGTGCAAGATAAACCTGTAACACCTTTTTATACAAGAAAGCCAGGAAATTATCAAAAATTACTAGAGTGTCCAAAAGATACAGGAGCCAAGTTGAAAGACTCCACTGGCCAAAGATGGTATAATCTGAGCATCAAAAAAATAATGATTACAAAAACTACAGTAGATTGACACACATCAAATATGTTAAAATGTCTGAATTCCTAATGATTAAAAGGGGAGAGAAGCCTCATTAATTACCTTTGAAGGGTGCTAAGGAATCAGCTTATTATTCCAAAAATTGGTAAACAGAGAAAATCAAGCATTTATCTCATCTTTCCTGTATTACCAGTACCTTGGGATAACCAAAGAGTTGGTGAGAGAACATTTGAAGAAGTATTCTGTCATCTCCTAAAGAAAGAATGGATCCAGGCAGTGATCCCTAGCGGCTGCTACAAGCATTCTGTGCAGAGCTGCTGAGAAATGTATCAGCTCCAGCCAAGAACACTTGTGCCCAGAGCTCAATCTTTACATCACAGAGGAGCACCCATGCATATGTTCCTCCTGAGGGCACCATGGAAGACTGTCTATTAAGTCTTCTTGCCCAAAGATTGAATCCTATCTAACCACCACTGTGTGGAACATACTGAACAGGATTGGAATGCAATTGGGAAAATGTGGAATGCAGGTCACTCTGCAGGACAAATAATTCATTTTCCTTAGCAACAAATGTTAAGGGGAAAAAGAGAGAGGAGGAAACCTATAGATTTAAAACAGATATGGAGCTCAGATAAAATGTATGGTTCATGCTTCTCTTCTTATCCAAGCAAACCAACTATTAAAATAAATAAGAACAATAAACATTAATGAGACAATAGGAGAGAACTAAAAACTGATTGAATATTTATTGCTATTAAGAAATTATTGTTAAACTTTTAGGTGTGATCATGTTTTTAAGAGAGTTATTGAAGGTGTCCTGATTTTTAGAAATTAATGCTGTCTATGGCCATACCACCCTGAACGTGCCTGATCTTGTCTGAAATTAATGCTGAAACCGTTTATGGATGAGATGGCATAATTTCTAGAAATTTAAAAAATACTACAGAAAAGAAGTGAACGAGGTATAAAAGAAACCAAATCGACCATGATGGAAAGTTGTTGAATCTGGATGATGGATACAGGGTAGGGTGTTCAGTGTACTACTTTTTCTACTTTTGTATGTGTAAAATTTTTCATAATGAAAAGTTTTAAAAATATATACACAGGAGGAAAAAGGAGCACCCTTTGCAAAGAAGTGCACCCAGCTAGCAGAAAGAAATGTTAGAGGGGTACTGGCTCAGTCTTTTAAGGAATAAAAAGAGAAGCTACAGAAAAATATCCACAACATACAGACCTGGTAAAAGAAAGAGGCAAGGTGAATGGTGTTTTAAAACAGATGATAAAAGCAAGAAATGAACAGATTGCACACTAGAGGCAAAGATTTTTAAGAAACTTATCAGGTCCACTGAATACTTTTTGCTATGATCTGTCCTGTGAACTTTTTTGGGCCATTAATAATTTGGCAACTCTTGCTTTTTTGTCATATTTTCATTTGTCCATTCCCTGACATTTTGCTTTTTTGAGTCTTTTCGTGTTGTTACCAGCAGTTTACGACTTTTGTGGTTTGACTCAGTCTGATTATTAGGAGAAAGGCAGTTTATGAAGTAGTCTACACAATAATATGAGAGAAGGAAAATCAGTTTGGATACATACCATAAGGTTGATTGCCTCTGTGTTGTAGGATTATGGGTATTTTAAGTTTGTGAGTGTGCTTATCTGTATTTTTTTCTAAAACTAACACATAACTACATAAAAACTATGTTACACAGGTTATACACCAAAAAAGCTGTCTTTAAAAGTAGAAATCAATATAATAAGCTTTCTAATCATCAGGAGGAAAAGGAAAAAATATATTGAGATCATTTGGCTAGATCACAGGATTTTATTTGGCTAGATCACAAAGCATCCAGTACATATTGGGAAGCAGATAAAATCCTATCCATGCTTGACTCTGAGAAACTATACAATAATTTTTAAGTTCAGTCCTGACACAAAGGGAAAGGTTCCTCATGCCAGTTTATCCAGGGACCTTGTTTTCTTTGATATTACGTATAGCCAGGATCTTCAGTGCCTCTAGTAAAACATTAAATATATTAATTTACTAGGTACAAGAAATATGCATTACCCTTCTACAGAGGGGGGAAGTGCAGTGATTCAGTTGCTGGGACCCAGTTCAGTGCTCCCAAGTGTTGACATCTCCTTCCTAGCAAGAGTGATAGGGGAGGGACCAGTACTGAAAGTTTTCTGCCTCTTTCAAGTTCACATTAAAATCTCTAATAGTTAGAACTCCGAGTGATTAGTGATGGTATTCCTCCTGGGAATGGTGGTTATAATGGTGTTCGTGATGATGGGGATGAAAAATAGATGCTTGTGGTTATAGCCCATTAGAAGGGATAAGCTCTAGCTTCTGGACTTGGAGGGCCTCTCCAGCCTCCATTTATTCAGTCGGCTGATTTGGGTTGAGTTAGAAAAAAAAGACAGAGCCTCTGTGGCCCAGGCCCCTATGCAGTCATTCTTGATCAGGAAGGTCCCAAACAGGCCCACAGCAAAAGCCTCAGCGTCTCTGGGGCCAACAGGTGCCCTGAAAAAGTCTCAAGGCCAGGTACTAGGGTCCATGTGAAGTTGTGTTCTCCAGGCATCTCTGAAGAGCTTAATTCCTTTTGTACCTTCTCCCTCACTTCTGACTTCATTCCTTCCTCCCCAAACCTGCCCCTGCCCTGCCCAAGAAGAGTGAGACTCACCTTTCCTTTCTCCCAACTCAGCATCACTTCACCCCCTCCCTCCCCTTTCTTTCCCATCTCTCCTTCAGGCCAAAGCAACCCTTCCTCTGAAACTGGGTTCTTTCCCACCTCCACAGAAGCTTAACCTTCCCTCTTGCCTTCTCTCCAACAGCAAACGCACTGAAGTTCCTACTGCTCTGAAACCTTTCCTCTCAGCCCTGTTATCTAGGACTCTGCTTTTTTCTTTCTCTTCACTACCAAACTTCTGTCTCCTGAAGCTTTTGACCTGCTTTGCCCTCTCATCATGAATTCTCCTTCTTCCTCACCCTGGGTGGTCTACCTTCCAGAATTCAGTCTCCTGGCACTGGCTATATTTTTATTTTTCTGCTCATCTGGGCCGTGTCTCATCTCAATGTTCCCAGCTTGCAGGAACAGTGTGGGCAGCAGTGACTATTTGATGGATGCCTAGATAACCGTCCAGAGAGCTTCCAGCTCTGAGAAATTGAATCTTGCTAAGAAAATCTTGTCTCTGTACTCCTACAGCTGGCCAAATAAAGACTGACCAGGCCTGCTCCCTCAGACTTGGCTTTTCTGAGCAAGATCTGTCAAACTCCCCAGCAGCTACCCAGTGAGCAGGCTGGGGTAGGGGCAGTATGTCAGAATGTGGAGGGTGGCTTCCAGCAGATCCACAGCCACACGGACACCCAGACAAGACGACCAGTACTCCAGCCTGTTTTGTTTTTGTGATCCTCAACTGCCTATCGTATTCCAGGTTCTCCAAGCCAGCACCCATGTTCCTGGACGACTCCTTTCGCAAGTGGACTAGGATTCGGGAGTTTGTGCCGCCTTTTGGGATCAAAGGTCAAGGTATGTTGGGAACCCTGACCTACATTAATGTCTTATCCCCCAGACTGTCTCCCTGGCCTTCAAGACAAGGCTATAGCCTCAGAAGTCTCCATGCTGAGGATCCATCCATCTTTCACTCTCAGCAATACCTTCTCTCCCTCTTTCCCTTCCTTCCTTTTTACTTTTTTAGTAGAATATTTACTCAGGGCCCATCAGGGGCTAGGTATACAACACTGAAGTAGACAGATTTGGTTCCTCTCCTCAAGACTCTCCAGTCTAGTGGAGATAGTTACTCAGTGCAGGACAGTAAGGGCCCTAGTGAGGGAAGTCTGTGGAGCCATGAGAGCACAAAAATTGCTGGAACACAGGTATGATAGGGAAATTCCCAGAGGAAACACAGGCCATTCCCCAGGAATGCCCCCCAGGCTCCTCCATCAGCCCCTCCTAATGTTTTTCACCAGAACCTAGTCTCTCCTCCTGTCCTTCTTATCCTGTTCAAGACTAACTGTCCCCCCTACTATCAGACACTTTCCCCTTCCACTGCCTTAGGTACCTTACCCACACAGTTCCCTCCTAACTTCAGACTTTCCCTCCCATCCCTAACAGTTTAGCAGTTCTGCTTCTTTGTCAAATTCCTGTGCTATTTAATGGCATGGTGGAAAAGAATCTGGGCTTTAGGGTCAGACATAGAGGGTTCAGATCCCCATACTGCCTCTTTACTAGCTGTGACCTCAGACAAGTTACTTAACCAGTCTGTGTTTTAGCTTGCTAATCAGTTAAATGGAGTGACTAATACTATTATGTGAGCTTGTGGTCAAAATTAAATAAAATAACTGTTAAATAGGTAATATCATTTGTTTGGGAGACTCAGGAATACCTGAACCTTCTTACTTAACTGGCCTGCTCACATGAAAAGAAGACAGTGGCAAGCACTGCTGAACTGGAGCTTTGACCTCAAACCTACAAGGACAAGTCTGATGGGTTGGGTTGAGCCATGTGAAGAACTCTTTTCTCTGGGTTCAGGTAGCCAAGCCATTTTTTTCTCTTAAATCCTCACTCAAGACTCTGATGGTACACCTGCAAAAGCCAGGAAAGACTGATACAGAGCCCGTTGGCCTGCAGGAAGAAAATACCAGGTCACCCGTGTCCTTTCTGCTAAAGTTATCCTCCTTGAAAACAAAACCCAATCTATATCTTTGACTCTAGACAATTAGTAGCAATATGCTTTTCCTTAAAGGTGAAATTGGAGGAGGGAAAAGGAGGGAATCTGTGGCTTTCCCTGAAGCCCACCATGAGGTATATCTGAAGGTACTTAGCATAGAACATTCCTTAAAGGTTTGTTTCCCCATTCTCACTCAACTTCTGGAAAGATTAGCTGTGCCTTCTACCTCCTCTTTCTCACTACTTATGTTTGTTATTTTTAATTTTGGAGACATTCTTTACATGAAATATTTCAGACATATAGAAAAGTATTAAGAATAATGCGATGAGCACTAGTGCACTTTCTACCCTTCTTAAGAAATAAAACATGAGACAGAATTAAAGCTTCTGTATAGTCCCTCCCATTCTGTTCTCCTCCTTCCCCAGGAAGCCATTATTCTGGTTTTAGTGTTAGTATTCCTATGTTTATATGTTTTTACTGCATAGTTATATATCCATGAAAAATACAGTATTAATTTTACATGTCTTTAAACTTTACAGTAGTGTCATATGTGCATATATGTGTGTGCTCTTTATATATATATATGTATATGTATATAATTTTTTTTACTTATGTATTGAGATTTATCAATATTGGTTCATATATGAGGAGGGACCCAAAAAATACCAGAATTATTTTTTTGGAGGGCGGGCCCCTTATAGTACAGGCTTTACCTGCTAGATAAGTATTCTAGGAATCCATTTGCATCAGGGTGCCATTTGGTGTTGTTGTGAGAGTCTATGTTCAGCTTCAGTGAATTTTTTGGTTTTTTTAGATACTTTCAACACATTTGCAACCTGAGCAACCTGCCCACACTGCACTGGGTACTCAGCAGTTTCTGACCCAAAACTGCAAGACCCCTGTGCCCTACCCTCTCTATTCACCCAATCTCACCCTGAGAAACTTTTTTTGTTTCCCTGTTGAAAAAAGTCCTCAGAGGGAAACTTTTTGCCAATGTGAAAAGAAGTGAAGCAAAAAAATAGCAGAAGCATAAAAGGCATCAAAATGGACTAATTCAAAAACAGTTTTGAGCAGTGGAAAAAGTGTTTTGATAGGTGTATTGTATCAAACGGAGAGTACTTTGAAGTTGACTGAAGTTTAAACATGTAAGAATAAATACATGATTTTAATAAATAATTTCCAGGTTGTTGGGGTCCCCCCATATAGCTCTAGGTCACTGATTTTTTTTAAACTACTATGTAGTATTCCATGCACCACACTGGATCTGTTTTCCTCTGGTGGGCATTCAGGTTGCCTCCCATGTTTTGATATTACAGTTTGGCATGAACACTCTTGCACAAGTCTCCTTGAGCAAATGTGTAAGCTTCTCAGTGCTCTACACCTAGAAGTATGGTTGTAGGATCTTAGTCTATGCACATCTGTATCATTATTTGATATTATTAAGATGCTCTCCATGTGGTGGTACCAATTTATGTTACCTTTAGGTCTTTATGTATATTATCGTTTATTTTCCTAACAACTCTGCAAAATAGAAATTATCTTCATTTCAGAGATGAGCAAACCAGAGCTCAAAGAAAGTAAGTAATGTATATAAAGTCACAGGGCTCTTAAGAAGCACAGCCAAGATTTGACTCCAAAGCCAATGCCCTTGTTATACATTATACCTTATAATGTTCTTGTTATACAAGAGTTTGAAGGGAGAGCAATTATCATTGCCAAAGTCAAAGAGAGGCCAGGAGGATGAGGTCCAAAGAGTGGGCACAAGATCGAAGAGCACAGAGGTCACGGGGGTCCTTGCTAAGTGGAGTGCAGGTGGATAGATGCCAGGCTCATGGAGTGAACGGGTAAACAAGCCAGCCTGGCAAAGAGCAAGATTAGAGACTGGCAATGTGAGAGAGAGGAAGTGAGGGGAAGACAGTATCAGAAAATGAGGCCAGAGATCTGCCTGGATGAGCTCTTCAACCATGGGGTGTCTTCTCATTTGTTTCCTGGTGTCTGCTTGGTGGGGACACAGAGGTGAGCACAATGTGGTCTCTATCTCTGAGTGGGTCCTCCCACTCTGGGGGAGACTGAGATGCTCCAGCTCCCAGGCAAGGCCCTGGCCAAGGGATGCACGTCTGGGGACCTGACTGCAGAGCCTCAGAAAACCAGATGAGTCTCCCAAGAAGGGTGAAGAAGCCCTGGGAAAGAACCTATCTGCCTGGGTTAAGAACGGTCTCCTGGAGGAGATATGCCTGCCCGTTTGCCTGCCTCCATCTCCTTTCCCAAGGAGAGAGTTAGAACAGTGGTCCAACCCAACACGTATCCAGAGCCCCATCTCCCACTTGCACCTTCACTGTAGGAACTTGCGCCTTCAAGTAGGATTGTTGGCAAACATTTTACAGAAACTTAAGTGACCTTCTAACAGGAACCTCCCTTCTCTGTCCACAGACAGTCTGATCAAAGCCATCCTGTCAGTCACCAAAGAGTACCGCCTGACCCCTGCCTTGGACAGGTGAGCCACTGGCTGCCCAGCCCCCTGCCCCCTGCCCTGCATGGTATGTGCAGAGGCCACCCCTGGCCACAGGCAGACTCTCCAGCATACCCACACACGCACACATGGTACACACACAGGGTGGGTGGATCAGATAAGTGGCACCATCCACTGAATTTGCACCCTGTGGGCTGGCAGCACTAGGCAAGACACCCAGTCTTCAGACATCAGAGATTTGAGGGGAAGACCAGCAGACACTGGGGCTGGGATTAGCCCATCAATGGAACTGAGAGTCTGGTTGGTGGGGACAGGTAAAGGAGGCAGGGCTTAAGTCCAAGAGGCAGTGACAGCTCTGAAACCAACAGACCCTAAAGCAGGGACACCCCACAGTCGGGGTGAATGAAGCAAAATGGACAGGCTCCCTGGTGGCCACTGGGAGCCAGGGGGCTTCTGAGTTGAAAATAAGCTGAGCCTTGAGTTCCAGAGCCTCCAGTCCTTTTCCCCTGCTGTTGTTTTCCTGGCATAGCCTCAAGCTCTGCCCACTTTTCCCTCTCCCCTGAAGGCTATGTAAAACCCACTGACCCCTGAGGGACTTTTATCCTAGAATGCCTTCTTATCAGAGCCTCTCTTCACCACCTCGGTCTGGCATCCAAGCCTTTCCACACCCATTTTCCTTGGGAGATGTCAGGGATCAGGGAAGCCAGAGAGTCCCGGAGCCCAGCTACCCACAGTGTGGTCTGGCCTCCTCTCAGAAATGCTGCCAGAACTGCCCATGGGTCTTCCTCCTCTATCCCAGCCTGATCCTAGCTAAGGGCATGGGGTCACATGCCAAAGGGCCAGAGGAAGAGAGCCGGTGGGCAGCTTTCCATAGAGATCTCCACCTCTCTCCTCCCAGCCTCCACTGCCGCCGCTGCATCATCGTAGGCAATGGAGGTGTCCTTGCCAACAAGTCTCTGGGGTCACGAATTGACGACTTTGACATTGTGGTCAGGTGAGCTCCCCAAAGCAGCACCTGTTGGCACCTGAGTGTCCTGACCCAAACCCCAAGCCCTGAACCCATTGAAAACTGTCTGTCCATCTGGCCAGTTGGGCCGGAGGTCAACAGAAGCCCAGGAACCATGGGTTGGAGGGCTTTGGAATGAACAGTAGATGATACCAGGTGGCTTGGATTCCCATTCTCTGCACCTGGGGTGTTCTGGGGTCATGCGGCCTCCCCAAACCCAGGCCCGGGGCAGGCTCTGACTGGCCCTGTTCTCTGTAGACTGAACTCAGCACCAGTGAAAGGCTTTGAGAAGGATGTGGGCAGCAAAACAACACTACGCATCACCTACCCTGAGGGCGCCATGCAGAGGCCTGAGCAATACGAGCGTGATTCTCTCTTTGTCCTTGCTGGCTTCAAGTGGCAGGACTTCAAGTGGCTGAAGTACATCGTCTACAAGGAGAGAGTGGTGAGCCCCCCTGGCACCAGCTCCTTCCCTCTTGCCCCAACCTTGCCCTGGCCTTCTCTGGAACCCAGCAGTCCCTCCCTTGGAACCCAGCAGAGAACAAGTAGGACCTTTCAAAAGTAGCATTAATGACCAAATGCAACGAAGAGACAGAAACACCAAAAGATGCCAGGGTTACTGGCCAGACTCCTGGAGCCAGTATGCCTGATATCTGCCACCTGCCTTCAGATACCCAGGGGCTGGTCCTTTCTTAGCCTTCTGTGACCAGACCCAAACATCCCCAGGGACCTTTCTCTGGCCCTAGATCCCTGAGTAAGTAAAACTTTGCCTCTATGGCCAGCTTCAGTATCACTCTTCTGCCCTGACCTTGTAACTGTCTCCTCTACCTTCTTCTGACCCCCTGTGAAGTCTCTCTGACTCCAGTCATATGGGTTCTGGCCTCTGTCTCAGCCAAGGAAGGAAGGCCTAATTTAGGCCCTGGAGCCATTCTGCAGCGATTGCAGCCCTCAACTTGAGAATACCAGCTCCCAAACTTATAAGTACTGGTCTCTCCATTTTGTACTTTTACCACTGACCTGTAACTGGGTCCCCAGCCTGCCATTGAGTCTGGTTCTACTCCTTGGGAATGATCAGATTCTGTACTTTTTGTTCTAGGGAGGGAAGGATCTCGGCCCATTTCTTTAGGGAACTTATGTGGCAGAGTAGGGTTCTGCCTGTTCTTTAGTAGACCACCCACTGAGTCTCCTCTGGCGGCCTCTATTTCCCAGTCCTGGGCCTACAGGGACACTCACCAACTTGTCTGGGTCCATCCCCTGTTTCCCTCAACCAACTGTCACCAGCGGCCCCAGAAGAGGGGTACTGCGCACTCAGGCCATTCATCTTCCAGTACCCAAGCCTCTTTCCAGAGAAGGATGATGACAGACAGCCTCCGCCTACAGTAAGAAGCTGGTTGTTCTTTCTGGAGGTTTACAGAAGAGTTGGGGGTGGGAACAACTTACCCTGCCTGTGGGGATCTCAGTTTGATGTGGTTTAACTCCATAGCTCTTTCCCAAGCAAGGCCAAGTGCAGGGAGTTCAAGTAGGTAGCAAGTAAGAGAGAAGACAGAAGTCAGGTCCAGAAATTTAGGTAGGTGGGACAGTGGGGAAGGAGAGCCCATCTCAACCAGGCTAAATGAGGCAGCTGGGCTCTGCTGGGTCCCTTCCAGCTCCCCAAAGGGAAGGAAAGGGCTAGGCAGCAGAGTGATCATTTGGCTTTAGCCAGCCCCACCTCCAAGCAAGCCCACTGCCCATGCAAACCAAGCAGAGAATGGGAGCTCAGGGAGACACACTTGAGGCCTGAGATTCCAGTGTCCTCAGAGCCCTTCTCTGCCTTGAGGGTAATAGAATTAGGGTCACAAATAGGAACTTTTAAGGCAGTAATGGGATCTACCTTGGTGAAGCCCAGTGAGCCTGAGAGCTGCTTTCTCTGGCCTGGCCTTCCACCCATCTGCCCAGTACCTCCTGGCACATCCTTCCCTCTGCCCCTGGTCACCTGCCAGTGCTGCCTTCAAGGCAGGAGCTCCCCAGGGCCAAGGCATGTTCCCATTGGTTTTCCCACTCAGTGCCCAGTCATCATAAATGATCTGGAGTTGGCTCAGACACTGGTTCCTGCTTCTTGCCAGGTAGACTGGGAAAAGCCAGGTAGTCCAAAGAAGGCCAGGCCAAAGGGGTGGGACAAAGGGTGGGCTAGAGCCAGTCAGTTGGGTGTTATCACATGTTCCTCCCAAGAACATCGGGGTCAGTTAATTCAAGGCTCTTACAATTCATCTAAGGGAGTAAGGAAAGAAAGAAGAAAAGGAAGGAAGCCAGCTAGAGTCGGAGGCCACTCAGGAAGCAGTCAGCAGGGCCTCGCTTTTCCTGGGAAGACCAAGAAGCTCTCTGCCTGGGCTGGCCTGGCCGTAGTGGCAGGCAGATTCAAGGTACCAGAGCAGTGGGATGAAGAAGTATGGGGTGTGTTCAGGCACAGAATCACCCTTGCTAATGCCTGTGTCCATCCTGGTCATGCACAGGGATCTAGGGCCAGCCTCGTGTTAGTGAGAACTCCTTAGGGTGGGTGGGGGTGTGAGTGGGAAGAGGAGAAAGGATACAGGGAAGAGTCCTCTGAAGTGCTGTGAGCTTTCTTTGGCTCCAAATTTAAAGATAATTTGGGGCCAACCATGGTGACTCGCACCTGTAGCCCCAGCACTTTGGAAGGCTGAAGCGGGAGGATTGCTTGAGACCAGAAGTTCAAGACCAGCCTGGACAACATCGCAAGATCCCATCTCTACAGAAAATGAAAAATTAGCAGGTGGAGTGGTGTGCCTATAATCCTAGCTGCTTGGGAGGCTGAGGCAGAAGGACTGCTTGAGCCCAGGAGTTCAAGGCTGCAGTGTGCTGTTATCATGCCACTGTATTCCTGGATGACAGAGCTAGACCCTGTCTCTAAAGATAAAAACAAAGGTAATTTGGGCCTTAAGAGTGAGATGCCAGAGGAATGCCGGTGATGCCCCCAGCCTTACCCTCCCCATCACCTAGGCTGGACCTTCCCAGGTCCTTCTGCTGCCCCAGAGGTCTCTTTAGTGCTCTTCCCCAACCCATGCCCAAGGCTAATGCATTCCCAGGACCTCTCCCATGCTCTACTTCACTTCTGTGGCAGCTGGGACCCAGGTAAATGTGAGAGAGGCTGCTTTTCCAAGTCCCTTCCTGTCTGGTGTCCTGACACAGGGACCTAGCCACAGGCCTGACCCACTCCTAACCACATAGCCTCTGGGCTGCTGGAGAGCTCTCTGCACTGGTCTGGAGGCTCACCTGAGAAGTCTGGCAGGAGGCAGCTCTGTGTTCTGGAACCAAGGCCTGACTGAGCAGGGCTAGAACACGTATTAGGCCTCAGTCACAGCTGCTGCCTGCCACTTGGTGTGTGAGCAGCCACTTACAGCATGTGACTTCCTGGTACCCAGGAGTCCTAATAGAATATGGAAAGGGGAAAGATGTGGGAAAGGAAGACCAAACAACCCAGAAAGCAACCCATGCCAGGGCTGGCCGTACTTTCCTCATCCATCTGGGAACTCTCCCTTCACCATTTGTAGCTATTTGGGTTCCTGATTCACTGGACAGTAGCTCCAATAACTAAACAAATTACAAAAAGGCATTTTATCTCCCAGATCCCAGCAAGCAGGTGTAGAAGCTACCAGAAGGCCATGTGTATTCAGGGCAGCTCAGAAGCGCACCAGTGGACAGGCAAGTGGTGATGCGGAGGTTGGGAGGAAGGGTGGAGCCAGGGAGACAGGGTGCAGCTGTGTGTAAGTCCCTGGTAGGAGGAGGCAGCAAGTCTGCTCAGAAGTGCCTCTGTAGTCATCCCCATGCATTCTCTCGTTCACCAGAGTGAGGGATCCTCTGTGCCAGCTCTGCACTGGCCCTGGGGAATAAATACAAGGACAAACTGAGCACTGTTCCTGGCCCGAAGTAGCTCACAGTCTAGTGGAAAAGACAGTCCCCAAACTAATTCCTTCCTCCAACATCTCTCCTCTGCCTCCCTACAAAGGGTCAGCACTCTCCTGTGCCCTGGATGCCCTCTCCTCTCACTTTCTCAGGAACTGTCTTCGCTCATTTGTCTCCTTTCTCACCTCTTTACTGAAGCCACCTCTCACATCTATAAATTTGTTCAGTGCTCTCTCACCTTAAAAATAAAAGCCTTCCCTATAACTTCTGTTACCATCTCTCCTTTCCTTCTCATTTAAATCTCTGGGAAGAGTCATCATCTGTCCCAGCGTCTCCTTGTTTCCCCTTCTATTCTCGGCCTCTCTGGCCTGGCTTTCAAACCGATCCCTCTACTGGCTGTGACCTTCTGATTCTAGATTCAGTGGACTCTGCCCTCCCTGTAAAGGAATAGCTTGCCAGCAGATATCCAGTGAGCATTTACTGTGTCCTGGGCATAGCACTGGGTTCTAGGGATCGTCCCTGTTTCTTACAAGCTCACAGCCAAAAACCTGGGGGCCATCCTTGATTCCACCATCTCTTTTGCCATCCATATTCAACCATTTAGTCTGCACATCTTTGATTCTCCATTCTAAAAATATCTGGCATGGATCATTTCAGCAGCTTCCTGTCTCCTGCCTCCAATGAGGTCTCCCTCCAAACCATTCTCCACATCTGCAATCAAAAGAATCTTCCTCAAGTGTCCATCTGGTTGCTTCATTCTCCTGCTTAACACCTAGATTCAATGGTTCTCAAAGTTCCTTCTCATACCAGCAGAATCAATATCACCTGGCAACTTGGCAGAAGTACATTGTTGGGGAGGGCCCACCTTAGACCTTCTGAATGAGGAACTCTGGGGGTGGGCCTAGCAGTTTGTTTTAATGAGTTCTCTGGGTCATTCAGATACAGGCTCAAGTGTGAGAACCACTGGCCTACAGGATAAAATACGAACTCTGTAGTACAGCATTCTGCGATCTGGCCCCTTCCAACCCCTCCCTTGTTCTTGTCCCTCTTTCTTGCCCTCACCACTTACTCTCCCCTCTGGTTATACCAGAAGCTGTGTCCTATTTCACACCTCCGTGTTCTGCCTGCTCCCATTCGCAAGACTGTATGACATGCTCTCCTCGTTAGCCTCTGGAGGCCAACAACAGTCTTGTTTGTCTCCATAAGCCCATCACCTCCAGCAACATTTGAAGCATAGTTGGCATACATCAACGAATAAGTAAACATGGAAACTGAGACCCAGTGTAAGGTAGTACCTCCCAGGAGAGTCAGGATTTCTACCCCAAACTCCTGACTCTCAGGCAGCCTCTTTTCTCTTGGCTAGGCCGCCACCTCCTTTCATTGCCCTGGGAAGTCATTCTTTTAGATTCAGACCCCTTACATCCTTTTGCTCTTTTCTTGCCTCTCCAGAGCATCTCTTTCCTCTTAGCCATGTTTGATCCTCTTTCTGCAGTTCCAAGATCATTCTCCTTGATAAAAAAAAAAAAGAAAAAGAAAAAAGAGAGAGAA